CAAATCCTTCCAACCCCTTTATAATTCTTTTTCAAAAAGGTCCTGGCTATTCTTGCTTATTTATACTTTTTTAAATCTATTTTTCAATCAGTTTATAAAACTCCATGAAAACCCTTGCTTATGTATTAAATAAGACCCCAAATGTAAAACCTTAATGAAGCAGAATGATTAATTTGACTAAATCAAAACATTAAAATGTGGCCAAACAATATCATGAACAATATTAAAAGACAAGTGACAGATGGTGAGAAAATATCTACAACACAATATTCAAAATATATTAAAAACTCCTACAAACTATCATGTTTATTTCCAATATACATGATAGTTTAAGATCTTAAATGGAAGGGATTCTTCTAAATCAATGTGAAAAAAGAAAAAAATTCCAACCAAAAAACAAAATGAACAAAGGACATGAAAAGGTAGTTCACGATAGAGAAAAAAACACTTGAATGGGTTTTAATCTCCTTAGTCACAAACACTGAGTGTGTAAATAACAAGGTATCAATAAACTATCAAATTGCCAAAGTTTCTAAAAAACTAATGATAATAATAATAATAATAGGGTTGGCTCCAGTGCATAGAAAGGACTTGCTACTCAAAGGATAAATTGGTGCAACTCTCTGGAGGGCACCTTGGCACAATGCATTAAAATGTACACACCTGTCGACACAGCACTTCCATTTCTATTATAATACTGAAAAGAAATCACTCCAGATGTTAACCCCTTGTTATTTAAAAAGACAAAAAGTCAGAAACATCATCAACAGGGATTGAGTAAATAACTTAGGGTAATTCCACATGGAAGAAAACTGTAAAGTCATTAAAAATGATACAGAAGAATATCATAATGGGATAGTGTTCATAAAATATCAATAAAAGGTAAGTCTAAAGAAATATAAGAGTTGTTTAGGCTGGGCACAGTGGCTCAAGCCTGTAATCCCAGCACTCTGGGAGGTCGAGGCGGGAAGATAGCTTGAGCTCAGGAGTTTGAGACCAGCCTGAGCAAGAGCGAGACCCCATCTCTACTAAAAATAGATAGAAATTAGCTGGGCAATTAAAAATAGAAAAAATTAGCCGGGCATGGTGGCGCGTGCCTGTAGTCCCAGCTACTCGGGAGGCTGAGGCAGGAGGATCGCTTGAGCCCAGGAGTTTGAGGTTGCTGTGAGCTAGGCTGACGCCACGGCACTCTAGCCCGGGCAACAGAGCAAGACTCTGTCTCAAAACAAACAAACGAAAAAATAAACAAAACACCCCATTAGGTTTTGTAAACCAGGCATAATGTGAAAGGAGCAGTCGGGAAGGAGACTTGCAATCTGACAAAGAGCCACAGCGAAAGCCTCTGCAATGCTATAGCTGGACCTCTTCCAGCATAGTCCAGTGTGGGGGAGAAAATGCTGCCAGACAGGACACACATCAAATTAGACATTAAATTCAGGATATGGCATTTACTTTTAACAACTGTTTCAAAAATGGCAAGCTCTGAAGTCCCATACTTCCAAATTAGCAACTACAGTCTGCTTTCCCAAATTGCTCTGTGGTTTCAACTACTTTGAACAACTTTTCTTACTTCCTGTCTCACAGTAAGTTATGTAATATTGGTTTGGCTATACAAAGTAGCTGTGGAGTTTCACCAATGGGACTGTTAATCTCAGAATAGTAAAGTATCACATGCAGAAATACTACAAGATCCAGTTAAAGTGGTTTAAGATCATAACTACTGGGTTCTTCTACTTCTAGTTCTTCCGTGTACTGGGACTTATAATGCTCGGGTCTTCACTGTGCAGAGGAGCTAGTAAGCCCCATGAGAACTGGAATGCCAGGCAGTACTATCAGAGAGTATTTGTGGGGGAAAGCTTATATAACATATTTTAATTCTCTTCAGAATGAAAGCTGCTCTAAACATGTGATGTAGACATGAGTGCAAATGAAAGGACTCTTTAACTTGCTTTTTAATTTTTATCATAAGTCTGGGTCCTCATTCTCTTCTCCAGTTCCACAATTCATGTGACTAATTCCAGACTTCACATGACACAGAAGTTAAACCAAACTAGGGCCCTTCTAGCAAAGGGCTCTTGCTTCTCATTTATCATTTGAGTTATGCAAATAACCACAAGAGTTAGAAGTTGAGTGATTCTGTTAGGGAGAGGATTCCATTGTTTAAATCCAGAGTTTGGGCAGTCTAAGATCCTGTGTTACAAATGATGTTCATATCCTTGTATAACTTACATCTCCCATACCCCACCCCCCTAAGATCTTTGAATCTATTTCCAAAAAACAAAAACAAAACAACCCTCAAAATGAAAACTGTACCTTGTAAAATGTGTCACTTAAATTCTTATGGGTATAGGAGATTTCCCAATCTTATGTTTGCAGTGAGAGCTCATCGTTAGCACTCATATGCTATGGAAAACCACCCCAAACTCAAGAGGAAGTATAGCTTCATGAATTGTCCCTGCCAGGGACAATGAAAGTAAGCATTACTTAGCTTTTTCTACTTCTTTTATAAAACATTACACACATCATTTTTTGATGCAACTCAAAGCAATGTAGCTAACAATGGCTAGCATTGAGTCCACTATACAAAAACAATCTAAACCCCTCTAATTTATGAGCAAAAAGTAGGACCAGAACTAAAAAGACTATACAAGTTGTACTGAGTATGATAGTTTTCCCATGCAAGAGGTTCAAAAGTATTCGATTTGTCATTTTGGATGCGGCCAATTCAATAAATACATACAGGAATCTTACGGTCAAATGGGAGAAGTAGTGAGCAATATCAGATTTTTTAAAAAAGTTTCTTAACTGAGGCTGAATACAACAGAAACGGGACTATAAAGACAGCTTATAGTTTATATATATGAACCTTCCCACATTCACAAACCTGAAATGTGTCCACTACTCGGTGAAGAAACTCAATGACAAACAGAGGTGGGACCTCCGTCTGGATCACAGCCACGAAAAAGATCTTGTGGCGGTAAACGCTTAGGAGGTAATGGTGAGGGGTAGGGATGACTGGAGGCACATTTTCTGCCTCAGTAGCTCTCTCTTGCGCCTCAAAAAAGTAATCACAAACAGAACGGCTGACCACACTTTTCCAATGTTTCTCCAGGAAAATATCTCCAGAGGAGTTGATCAAGAAAAGACTATGAATCATGGTGGAGACTGTCAGTGAGAGAGGAAAGCCTTTTCACTCTGAATGCCTCAGGACTCTGCAAGTTGCCAACTCTAAAAACAAAAGAAGCCATATTCAGTTCCATTCCACCCAAACACCCTCCCCATCTTTTCTAGCAGCCCAAGACTTACCCATCTTTCAAGACCAGGCCCAAGTCTTCCTCTACTGGATGAGCCTGAAGTATCCCTCCCTTGAATTCCTAAGGATAATCATCAGCCGTCTCATCTGTCAGTCAATCATTATATTCCCCGTTACCTTTACCACTGCTTTACTATTATACCCACTTAAAATACTACTTAGCCTTCGGATGTCTATATTCCCAACTGAACTGTAAGCTCCTTGAAGAAAAGGACTATGCCTCCTGTTTTTTGTTGCTTCGTTGCACAGCACCTCCTTGCATACAGGAGGGCTTAAAGAATACTGAAGTTGATGTCATGTTTCGGCCACAGCTCACACATATACTAGAAATGTGTAGCTTAATACCGTGCCCCTAGCCAAATGGGGTCAGCTAGCACTTGAAACGTGGCCGGTGAAAGTGAGATGTGCTAAGTGCACGATATATGACAGATTTGGAAGACTGTATATGAAATAAATAAAATTTCAAATATCTTACCAATATCTTAATATTGATTATATGTTATAATAATATTTTGGATATATTAGGTTAAATCAAATAACATCAAAATTAACTTAACCTGATTTATTATTTTA